CAAATCGTTCTGCAGCAGGATTCAAGGGAGGAAATGTGGCCTCATGAGCAACTGAAGCAATGAAAGCTTCTGCCTGCATCACATGAACTATACTGTACAAAATGTCAGTCAGTCACATTGCACAGCCAAAGCCTCACCTTTTGACTGTCAAAGAAAAGAAAAGGGCATAATTACAAACAGGGAATCATATGAATACCCTACAATTATGAAGAGACTTTCTTTACATCCTTGAGTAAGTGTTATTGAGATTTTTTTTAATATCTGTTTTCTAGTTCGTCAAACCACTGGACCCTGCAATGCTTGAAATGTGTCCACAGACAAACGTCCTGAAAAAAGTCAGTATTTAACAGTAAAGTTGCCTCTTTGCACTCAGTTGCCCTTACCTCAGCCTTTACTGCATTACTCTAAAATAAGAAACCTGTAAGATGATTTACCAATTGTATGACCGATATTGGCCTGTCACAGGTGAATTGGTGTTGTGGTATATGTTTCTGTGCACTTGTTAAAGCATAATGCAAAAAAACTACCATCTACTACACATGTAGAAATTAGTTTGAGTACATATGACAGCTTTTTTACTCCCTAAATCAGTATCAGCTCCAAAAAATCCAGCATTGGTTGGCCTCCAAAACGTACCATTTAATCATGACTGTCCAATTGTCTGTTTTTGCAGACTGGTTACCAGAATATACCACCTCAAGCCCAAATCCGAGAAAGCAGCTTTCCAGAGCTATCTGACACTCTGAACAGCCAGCTGAAGCATGTCGCCGCCTCAAGATGCCTGGAAACTAGTTCTATCACCACAGTCTACTCATTTTAAAGCCAGCTGCTGTTAATCTCTGATTTACAGTGTACTCCATGCACATGCTCTTGGTCTTTTTTTATCACATAATGTTCGTCTTTAATTCTGTCCATGTTTCACTTTGACTGAATTTGTCCCCTTAGTAACCAGCTATAGCATAAAGCAAATTTAAACCTTAATCCAATCAAAAATAACCTTATGAAGGAGTGAGTGCAACAACAGAAATACATTTTCCAGTGGTCCAAAGAATCTAACTGAAGAGATGACCACAAAAGTGTGAACACGCAAACGTACACTTACAGACAAGCAACTGAAACTAAAAATCCATGTCTTGAGGTTAGCTGATCACGACAGCAGCAGCAGTAGCAGATTCTTTTAACGGCTGTGGTTGTGTCTGTGAACGCAAACGTAAGTGTACCGGCTTGCAATAGAGTGTATCATAACAGGTGACAGGACACAGTAGGTCAGTAATTACAGCTTTGTGAGTGTGTGTGCATGTAGACTGTGTTTATAGCGGTGGACAGGGTCAAGGCTGTGGATTGAAGAGCTTGGCGACACACTGAAGTGTCATTACTCTGAGGGTCAGTTGCTGTAGCAGCACCTTAAAGGTTACTCAGTACAGTAATTGGCATTGAGTGAGAGCTTTTTTTTGTTTGTTTGTTTGTTTGTTTTTTTTTTTGCTTTTTCAACCAAACCCTCAACTGTTTGCTTTCACCTGCTAATACAGCATAGAGGATTTAAAAAAAAAAAAAAAAAACGTATTTCCCAAATATCTGTCATAGTTTTGAAACAAGCACTTCCAGTTCATTTAATTTTAAATGCATTAATTTCTTTCTTGTTTGCTTCTTGTGAAAGCATTTGGTAAAAGCAGACTGAAACGCAAGCAGATAAACAGGTTTGAGTGTGGAAACGGGGATAAAAACCTCCTGAAAGTAAACACTAATTAAATTTTGTTTCTGAAAAGAGTCCAATAATTGAAGCAATGGACTTAAGACTAGTTTCTTGTTGTTTCCTATTCTGCACATCCACATTTAGGGCTGCAGTGTGTTTGTGTTTTTCATCCATATTTGCAGCTTGGCTCATTGGATGTCACTGTTAGTACAAACCAACAGAAGTCTGTCAAAGAGCTAGATTGTCAAAAATCATGCCCCACATACTTCTTTCTTAGGTGCATTTATGTGGCACTAAAGTGGCTGCTGTCCTTGATCATGATTCAGTCCGACCAAGACCAAGACACCAGATCTCTTTTCATCATTGTGTTAACTAAAGGGCATGACTGGGGCTCACGCTTTTCCATCAGACTCAAGTAGCAGATAATTCCACACTCTGATAAGGTATCACTTCTCAGATATCCTTGCTTACATTGTGGAATTTTTGCTCGCTGGCAGCCTTGTTTGAACTTTGATTTGAGTTGAGCTGTCGGTCGATCAGTCTGCCAAGTCGTCACCTATGCTTTTTGTCTGATTTCTCTCAGTAGACCCTGTGAATGACCCGCTCATAAGGACGTGAAAAAGAAACTTTCTGCAGTTTTCATCTCCTGTGGTTTTTTACACAGTTGTATAGATGGTGCCTTTGAGGACATAAGTGACTCATTTCCTGAGACTATTCAGAGTGAAGGCCAAGGCGAGACTAACAGCACACTGAGCAGAGCGGAATACTTTCTTTGCGCAAACACATACAACTGAGAAAAAATGATCATGCTAAGGCATGTTGGGAGAGTTACTGCATATGCTGTGGTCATATTTTGCATCTTACAGTTGTATTTTAATGCAAAAAAGGCTTCTGATGAATACTAAAATAGGGTCATGTGCATATATTGTACACTTGCATACACACTGACAGTGTGGTTATTGTAGCAAGAGTACAATCTCATTGAGACCAGGGGCAGGCACTTCCTGTTTGTGTCACCAAAAGGGCAGATAAAAAACAGACACGGAACTCTTCCACTGTGTCTGTTGCCACTATATCCCTGTCTTACTGACACTCGAATACGAGACTAAAATAATACTTAATACGTCATGAAAAATAATAATGATCATACAAATAAATACAGACAATGCACAGGTTTGTAAAATAGCCACAACACTGAAGTAGCTCAGTCAAATTTCAAAATTCTACTCAGTATTATGAAGTTTTTTTGTGTCATTTTTTATTTTTTTCAAGCAACTTTTTGTTGCTGAGATGTTGAGGCTGCGATAGTTGGAGATGGCCGAGAGCTGAAGCAAAGCTTTTCAGAGGCTGGGTCTGGGAGAGGAGAAAGCCAAGGCTGGTGTGTGTCTGGCTGGGTTAGCAGGGTTGTTGGCTGGGCAGACAGACAGACAGACAGACAGACAGGCAAACTGAGCAAGGAGACAATAAACCTGAGTGCAGCCAGGTTAGCCAGGAGTCACAGAACTCAGAGAGCAGCAGCTTGTCAGAGCCAGTGATTTGACCGCAGCGTGGGGACTGGGAACAAGGCACAGTTTGACCATGACACCTGTGACTTCAAAATTATAGATTTGAAACATGAGAAGAATGTTTTAATATAATTAAACTACTCGACAATTTCTGGTCATTGTGAGGTCATGAAATTACAAGATCTGCTCTGTGAAACACTGGGTAGTTTCATGTCAAACAGAAGAATAAAATAAATGCACAAATTAGCATCTGTTCCTTGAGATGTTTTATGGCATTAATATTCAGGTCAACCTATAATTTCTCACCTTCAAGTCATCAGTGACTCAACGAGACAGCTAGCAGTCACTGTTATGAGCACTGCAGCTTTTATTATCAAAAAATAATATAATGTGTCTTTATTGTAGCTCAGATACATGGAGAGGATGACTCACCATTGTTACTGTTTTGAGTAAATGTTATATTTGTTACTATACGTGAACGTTTAAATCAGGTGCAAACAGAGATTATATGGCTTTATCCGGTTCATAACAATCTGCACTACAAACACTGATACGGCAGTTCCCAGTAGACAAGAAAGAAATTACTTTTAAAGAGGTTATGAATCGGAATGATGTTTGCTGAGCAGTTCAGTGTACATATCATTTGACCGTACCACCTTTTCCTTCCTGTGCATCTAGGACGACTTTAGTGTGTGTGTGCATGTGCGTGTGCGTTTGTGCATAGAGAGATTTTATAGAGTAATTAAGCCCGTGTCAGGCATATGGCGCCGTGTGTACTCAGAGTACACAGAGCTGTTTTCCATGGAAAGTTCCATCAGTTTGTAAAGGGGAGTGATTTTAGTCCTGATAAACATGAAGTCTGAAGAGCTTATATTTTTATAGGGGGGCTGGAAGCTAAGCAGACCACACTGTAGTTTATATATCAATATTTTTTCCAAAACTGCATGTCTCACATACATAGACATGTGTCGGCCCTACCTATCCAACATGTCTCCTTGATTTCCAGTGAGAACCTGCAGATAGCAGCAGTGATAACGCTAACTGAGACCACAAGCTCTAGCAAATAGTAACAAATTAGTGTCACAGACCAGCTATAGGCGGCACAAGTAAAAACCACAGAAGTCCCCCTTCACAGTTAAAGTTAGCAAGAAAAAAAAGCCATATTTGAGAATATAACATTTTTCCGCCTGCAGGCTACCACATTAAGAGGACAGAAATCATTTTGCTCTTGATATTAGTAGCCTTATATAATATGTCGAGACCTTCAACATTGGAGTTGCAAGCTGAATGGAATGAATTAAAAATCCGTTATGATCCATAGACAGATTTCCAAGTGATACATTAGCAGACAAAAACAACCCAATAAACATAGAGGTTATGAGAATTATTTTTTTTTAACTGCATAAACTGCAAAAAAAAAAAAGGCATGGAAAATGTTCAGTGTATATAAGACCTTCAGCGAAGAGTGCAGAATTAGCTGGAGGCATCTTGTCAGAACACTGGATTAATCAGGTCGTGGATAGTTTTAAAACTGCTTTAAGCTAACGTAGTGCTGTGTGTTTATAGCTGTTTAAGAATTGATGCAAAAAGGTCAGTGCTTGTGTGATCAGTTTGATGTGCATTTAGAATTTCGTGTTTTGCCCTTAGAATATTGCAGAATAGCTATAAATATGAATATTATTTTTTCATGATTACTTATATGGTGTGCTAAACAGTTTCTTTCTTCTTTTCATCTGTCTTTCACTGTGCCATACATTAAATAGTTTATTAGTGTTTGTAACATCCACTTATGTGTCTCTCAGCTGTGAGCAGAGTGAATCAGGACCAACAGACATGGGGAAGCAGAACAGCAAGCTCCGTCCTGAGGTGATGCAAGACCTGCTGGAGAGCACTGACTTCACCGAGCATGAGATCCAGGAGTGGTACAAGGGCTTCCTCAGGGACTGCCCCAGCGGGAACCTCTCCATGGAGGAGTTCAAGAAGATCTACGGTAACTTCTTTCCCTACGGAGACGCTTCAAAGTTTGCTGAGCACGTCTTTCGCACATTCGATGCTAATGGCGACGGGACAATAGACTTCCGGGAGTTTATCATCGCATTAAGTGTGACGTCGCGTGGCAAGCTGGAGCAGAAGCTGAAATGGGCCTTCAGTATGTACGACCTGGACGGGAACGGGTACATCAGTAAAGCTGAGATGCTGGAGATCGTACAGGTGAGTGTGTCCGGCTGTACTAATACTGCATGTTGAACAGCTTATAGATGATACAGGGTCTAAAATACAGAATGTTACTGTACCAGGAAGAACCTTTTCTGTCGCATGGTCTTCTCAAGTGTTGTCCATACCTGTGTTCAAGTGTGCTTAAAATGTAAAAGTCAGGTGACACATAGACACATGCAAACTAACTACAACTTTAGCCAGGGCAATGATTGTTAAATACTTTTATGAACAGTGCTGCCACTGTATCCATATTACACTCTTTATGAGACAAGGAAAAACAGTGCTGGCATTTTAAGAACAGCAGGACATACAGCTCTGCTTCAGGGTGAGAGGAAGTTCACACGGGCATGGAGCTGGATGGGCCTCCTCCTGATTTCTGAGAGATATGTCATTCAGGATCTTGTTTACTGCCAGCACTGAAATGTCAGTGTACTTAAAAAAGCATTTAGATTAATTGGAAACATTCCTTTTCCTACCAATGAAAGCAGTTTTGGAAACATTCAAGGGTTCATTAGCTTAACTCCTTCTTAAATGTGGCTTTTAGCTTTATTTAGAAAAGAAAAGAGTAGTTTTTCCATCTGCTCCACACCTTAGCCTAATCCATGTCTAAAAATCACTGTGGACTGTATGTTTGTCTGTTGGCTTGAAGTTACTGTATTATGTCTTGTGCTGTCATGTCTGTGTGCACGTTTTATATTTTGTAAAGCCTACTTGTTGTCTTTTATAGCTGCTGAAAACAGTCTTATGCTGGACAGTTGAGGAGGACCGTCTCTCAGGCAGTGTTCAAAGCCCTGCATGCTAACCTGTTGTTATTCACTAAGATAATGAAGGCAAATGTCAACTGAAATGCCCAGCGGACTAGGCAGACTTTCAAACCTTTTTTATTAACATATTAACAAAAAAGGAAATAAAAATAAATTCAAAGCCTTGTCATTTTGTAAGAAGAACAGTTATTTTTTTACAAGTTATTTTAGAGGTTGGAAAGTCATTTCTTTTGTAAAACATTTAATGACTTGTTTTCTGAGCTGCGTGGAGGGCACTGCTCACCTATAGGAGAGAAAACAACAAGGAAAAAGGGGAGTGCAGATGGCATTTCCTGTACAAAAGCTCATGTAAACAGACTATTACATGCACAAACTCAGTATATATGTGAGTGTGTGTGTGTGAGGCGTGTGTGTGTGTATGCACAGGAGTATGCTTTACTTCCTCCACATTTATGTAACAGCAGCTAGATTTTCCCACTCTACTTTCACCTAATTTGATTTCTTGTTCAGCAGACACCTCATCGTGTCTTCAGTCTAGGAATCATTTTGAAACAGGAAGTCTGTGTGTGTCAGGTTAGAAAGATGTATGGACAAAGGAGCTGCATCCAGTCAGAGAAAGGTGGAACAGAGACAGAACAGAAACGGATGAGAAGAAGAAAAGATCATTTTTAAGAAAAGATCAAGAGTAATACAATGAACACACATCTGTGTGTGAGATTATAAGTGTATGTTTGCTCACGTCCTGTAGCTGGTTCACCCACTGGGCAGAGTAACAGTAATGATTTCAATGTGAGCTTCACTGAAGTGATATACTCGTAGAAGTTGGGACATGGCTTCTCTCTCTTTTGCTTTGCAAGTCTTTAATCTGCATCAGTTGCTTTTAGCTACTTGGAAGCAACAGAAACGAGTTGTAAAGTCTACTTTGACATATTACCATGTGTTGATTTGTTAAACTATGTCCCATGTGAGTCACTGCCTAAAGTGAGTTGCACATGCACGAACGTAAACAGTTTATTGCACGTTAGGACCACCATCTGCACTGGATTATATGAAAGCATGGACCACCTTCTCACAGTCTAGGTACGTACACTGTGAGTGGACTAAATTCACAGCTGACAAGATGAGCACTTTATGTACCAAAAATCATAACCTCTGTCTTTTTATCTTAATATTTGGAAGCTGTGTATAAGAAATTGCAGTGCAGCAATTCATAAAAATCACAACAACACATATACAGAGGTTTCTGCTAGTTTTATATACACTAAATAAATGTATCAAGTAGTTTGCTCTGTCAACAGACAGAAGCAATGTTATGAAAGGTCTTTGGCTGTAGGCTAAAGAGTTTTACCAAATGAGAGGTGTACATGCGTCATTTTAAGACATTTTACTGCAACCATTTACACTCACATGTGCACAGTGACTTACACTGGACAGTGAAAAAATTGCCACAGCCCTTCATTTACACATCTAGCACATATATACAGGCAATGTAAATTTTGGCAGTCACTCTCCTTTTACCTCTGTTTTAGGCTAGTCATAGGTTAGCTGTAGTCACTAGCTTTGTTTTGATGGTGGACAAGTAGTAAATAGTGGGTTTATGGGTGAGCTTTTGCTTGAAAAAAAAAAAAAAGCTGAAATATGCTAAGACACATTGCATAGCTCTGACAAGTGGCAGAGTTGGGTGATGATTCTCTATGGGATTGTCATTGAGTGATGAAATGAAATGAAATGAAATGAAAAAAAAACAAAAAACTTTATTTATCCCAGAAGGGAAATTCAATAGATCTTTGTCATATGACATGTAGTAATTTCATCCATTGTTGCTCTAAAATATTGATTATAGTAACTTTAAATCAGATTTTCAGATTTTCCTTGTTGATTATTAGTGTCTTTCTACTTGAAGCTTTGGTTTTGTTTTTATTATTCAGAATTTTATTTTCTCCCAGCATACTGTGAGTCACTGCTGGTACAGGTATAAAGGCTTTTAGATCTAAGCTAATCAAGCCAGTGTCTCTGATTCATTTCCAAGGTGGCCACAACCAGTCCCAGGAAATAGTCTGTATTGCCTCACATGTGCCCACCAATCATCTCTTCAAGGTTCAATTAGTCTCCCCCCCCTTCAAGATTACCATGATTCAGACTTCAATCCGTCACTTCTTTCTGTCGTCTGACGACATAAACTCTCCACCCACTTACCATTAAAAGATGATACTGTTTTCAAGGACAAAAGAACAGAGAGCAATGACTCAGATGCTCGTGTCTGACTGTTTGCAGATCTCATCAGCTGAAGTGAAAAGGAGGAGAGTCTTGAAGGAATGAGTGTGAGTGGATGTATGCTGCTGCTGGTAATTAGCTGCAGAAATGTTGTCCTGCTGCACTGTGCCTACAAAAACCGGATTTGTAGTAGTAACAAATATTTCATTGTAACCTTAGAAGCAGAAATGGGCTTCTGTGTTTTACTCATTAGACAGTGCCATTCCTCACTGCTGAAGTTTTAGAAAGAACCCAGGGCCATCTCAGTTTCAGTCTTTCCGTCTCAGACATACACAGAAGCACTTACGCATACACACAGTATTCATCTCTCCTCATGTCTATCTTTTCCCTTTCTGCATTTGGCTGGCTGACTTTCCTGGTTCAAAGCCACCCGCCTCTGCACAGAGAAAGCAGGCTTCAGAAAAAAGTTTTCAGGTAGCACTGACTTTTGAAAGCAAATGCTGAAGTTTAAATGAAGCCTGAGCTCAAAGTTTCAGTGAGGTCTGCAGCTTAGTGTGATCAAAGTATGTGCGTTTAGGTGCATCAGAGGGCAGATTTGGCAGCTGGCTCTCATAAAGCTAAATCCATTTCTGCTGTGTTTCTGTGCCCAGGTGATGTAGAAGACTGGCCATAGCATCCAAGGTGTCCTTTCTCCACATGATGTTCACATACGAGGTTTTCAGTGAAATGTCTTCAAATTTCTTAGATGGAGTGCTATGATTTTTGTATCTTCATTATATGCCCCTCAAGATGAATTGCAATACCTTGTGGTCATCTAACTTGTCACCTAGCACCATCATCAGGGCAAATTCATATTTTTTAACACTTCACTTCATCCAGATCTCTTCAGCTTCACTTGTGCTTTGTAAGTAGTGTTCAAATTATCCTCCATTCTAGGGAAATTCATTCTCTGTTTCTAAGCAATCCTAAGTATTGTGAGCACTGCGGAGCCACTATGTAGCACGCAGAGTATCTACTAGATTTGCCAGCCAGCGCCATGGTCAAGGGCACTTTGGAGAAATAACCTAGCATGTTTTCGATGGCACATTCACACTCACATTCACACCTACGGGCAATTTAGAATCACCAATTAACCTCAGCATGTTTTTGGACTGTGGGAAGAAGCCAGAGAACCCGTTGAGAACCCACACAGGCACAGGGAGAACACACAAACTCCACACAGAAAGATCCCAGGCCACGCTTCAAACCCAGGACTGTGGAGCTGTGAGGCGACAGCGCTAACCACTGCTCCACCATGCTGCTCCATTGTGAATATGTTAGCATTAATATTTATACCAAATACAGCCTCACAGAGCCGTTAGCTTAATTATCTAAAAAGTCTACATAAAGAGGCTATTAAATTTAGTCATATGCCATGCAGACAGTTCAAAATGTGTGCATGCATGAACAGCATGACTGTAGTAAGGGAGCCACATGTAGCACAGTTGTACAGCCTCACTGCTACTTTGTGGTCACTAGTAGTCACTCATGGCACTGCAGCAAAAACAGGCCTTTTGGCTCAGGAAACAGTTTTTCCTTTAGACGTCTAATATAATAAAGATATCTGTATAACTTGTGATAGGACACCTCTAAGTACAAACAAGATAGTTGTTGTGCTTTGTATTATGATATCCAAATCCATCAATGTTTTTTATTTGTTCAACTCTAGCTGTGATATTCCAACATTATCAGATAAAACTAGTCTGTTTCCACTACTGTGCTCCATGTTCATGATCAAGTGGATGCTTTACATCCACTGTTTTACTAATTTAGTTTTGTTAAGTGGTTGCAGAGGCTGTCTTTGTTTGATTTTTACATGTTGTTCAGCCAAACACAAGAATCGAAGAAGCTCTTGTTCTTGGATGATGTTTTCTCATGCGCATTTTTTGAACAGTAATATGATTGAAAACAACAACAAATCATTCTTGTTCAAATCCATACCTGTGCAGTTTTAATTGTTGTGTATTAGAGAAATAT